GAAATTGTGTAAACCATTGAGGCTTTTTGTTCAACAACTGAGCAAAGGAGGCTTATACTTTTTTGTTGGACTTGAACCTGAAATTGTGTAAACCAGCAACTTCTACTGTCAGCTAGCCACCCAACAAGGAGCCCCATACACAGAGGAAAGGAGAGGAAGACAGAGCTGAAGATGAAAAGAAAGAAATCAAATTCCGAAGTCATTGTTCAGCCCTGAACAAGATGCTCTTGAGGCCAGTTCTAGGTACGTATCCTTCAGTAACTTGAACTTGTATGTATGATAAAATTTTATTTATATTATATATATAAAGAATATATATTTTCATTCACTTTTTAGCAGATAGAATGTTAAGTGGAATATTGAAAACAGGAAATGAACACAACAAAACAGAGTATCTTATCCTGAAAAGAGCAAAAATAATGCATATCTTCTTGAAGATGATTGAAAGTTATCATTTCAAATGAATTCTGCATTATTCATAGGGCCCTGAATATCATCTCTTTGTTTTTCTGTGTGGGAACTAAGATCTAACAGATGTTTTCCTAGAGGTATATTCATTTGTATACTATCATTCACATATTTTATTTTGATCTCTCGGGAGAGTCTTAATTATTCAAGTTTTTGTTTTCTCTTCCTGAGTTCTACATTAGGAAGAGTTATTTAGGTTTCATAGCCTTGCCAGGTTATCAAGGATCTTCAAGGACATCTAGTCACCTTCCTGCTCAAGGCAGGAAACCTCTCTTGACAGTAACCATAACAGGAAGTCAACCTCTTCCTGAACACTTCCTGTGTCAGATAATTCACAGCCTAGTCCTCTTCCCCGGAGCTCTAATTATTCATATTCTATTACTTATTGACCCCTACTATTCATATGTATCAAGCATATTGCAATTTATAGTTATCTTTTTATCTAGTTTTATTAGATCACAGCACCCTTCTAATTGCAAAATCCAATGCACATTCTTAAATCTTCATCTTGTTGGACTTCTATAGCATTTTACACCATTATCCACTCCCTCCCTCTTGAAATGCTCTTCTGTTTTGGTTTCTTTGAATTTCTCGCCCAGTTTTTCTCCTTTCCATGTGACTTCTTCTCAGTCTCTATGTGAAGGAGGTCTCTTCATCTGTGTAGCCCATTAAGTATTACTTTCCTCGCTTCTGCCTTTAGTTCTTCATTGTCCACATACTCCCCCTGAAATGTTTAATCCATTTCTAGAACTTTGGTATCATTGGCTTCACTAATGTCTCTATCCTTGTCTTGTCTCCTAAACTCTAGTCCTTTGTACATAGGTATGTCCTGAAATTTTCAGTTAGACTCCCACAGGAACCTCAAATTCAGTATTTTTTTCTTTTTTTTATCATTTATTTTAGAGGTGGGGGAAGGGCAGAGGGAGAGAGAATCTCAAGCAGACTCCACGCTTAGGGCGGCCTGACATGGGGCTCCATCTCACGACCCTGAGATCATGACCTAAGCCGAAACCAAGATTCGGACACTCAACCAACTGCGCCACCCAGACGCCCCTCAAATTCAACATTTCTAAAGCTGAAGTGTAGCCATTCTCTTTTCCCAAATTCCGTATTCTTCTTTCGGTCATTAGAACTATGATCCAAACAAAAATCTTGATGTTGTCTTCACTATCTCCCTTCCCCTTCTCTTAAATGTATCTTGGGCACTTTCCTCCACTCCTGAAGCCACTGCCTCAGTTCAGGCTCCTATCACCCCTCAGGTTTGCCCTGTCTTGTAACTCATCCCCTTCCCAGGTTTGCCCTGTCTTGTAACTCATCCCCTTCCCAGGTTTGCACTGTCTTGTAACTCATCCCCTTCCAGTCTCAGACGCCTCTCCAGTGCATCTCCCCACGGCAGCCACACTGTGGCCTTTCTAAAATGAAATCTGCTCCCTAGATGGAAACTCTCCCATGATTCCACATTGCCTCTAGAATCAAGCCCAGACTCCCAAGCACGGCAGATGACGAAGCCCTTCGTGAAGTGACTCTCATTCCCATGTCCATCTTCTCTTCTTTTCAGTTCACCTTGTCCTCTATTCATTCCAAGTTCTTGCCGTGCCCCTGAATATACGGGCTTTTACACGTGCACTGTTCCTGTTGCCAGAAATGTTTCTTGTATTATGAGAAAATTCTTCTTTTGTAATTCTCATTCCATTGCAGTTTAATTGCCTATACCTATTTCCATTACTAGTTGCCGAGTTCCCAGAGATAAGCATACAGTGTAAGCCATTTTTCTAATCGTAATATCTGGTCCAGTATCTAGAACACAGAAAATCCTGCTTATTGAATTGAACATTTCAGTTACCTTTCTATGGTAGGCTATAATTCTTTAACATTCCCCCCCAAATACTGTATGCAAAAATAGTGATGTGTCTCACCTAGTACAGATTTTAATGGGGCTATTCATCCACTTGAAAAGGACATCTCTTTCTACCAAAATAGCTCCAGATAATAGTCACTGCGCTAATAGAGAGCCTGCTGTATGCCAGATACAGTGGTAAATATTGGAAATAATCTCTGCTCATCAAACCACCTCTGTGGGGTAGACAATATGGTCTCCGTTTTATAGATTAGGAAGCTGAAGATTAAAGTATTCAACACTTGTCCAAGCAAAAACCTGGTGAACTTGGGATACAAACCACATCCATGTGACTGCAAAACCCAGGCTTTTTGTGCTACTCACGCTGCCTTTGAAATTTTTTAGTAGTCTAATCAGATATTTAAAATCGAAAAGCTTGAAGTCAGTTAAAATCCACCAAGCCCCCTTTCTCCATTCTATACTTACATGATTATTATTCTATACTCTACCTGACAGATTCTGCATTTCTACTTATTAAAATGCCTAGTGCTAGCTTTGTCTTTTATTATTATTATTTTTGTGATCTAAGGATGTTGTAAGCAAAGGAGATGAATTTCTTTTAACGTGACTCGGTTTTAGAGAATGCCAGCTACATCTTGGTGACCTTTGATGTATTTCCCCAAGGGGTCTCATATCGTTTGCTCAATAATACTTGCTGGAATTGACATCAAAGTTACCTGCTTTATTTCTTAGACTATATCTGTTTTTTTTTTTTTTTTCTCTTTGAAAACCAGGATAGAATGTGTCCATCTTTTCTCTAGTGACACATCTGTATTTTTCCATGAATTTTTAAAGATGGTGACAATGCTTTCATGGCTATAGGTGTTTTTGTACCCTTCACTATCATTTGTCTTCTCTAGACACTTGGATTTCTTCTTATACCTTCTCAATTTTGTGATTTAGAGTACATAGACCTAAAGTGTTCCTAAGACACCCGAGAGGTCAGGCTTTCCTATACAGGGGGAATGAAATGGCATGTGAGCAGTTCTACTCTGAAAATTAGTGCTTTGAAGTTTCTTGAAGAAAGTCCCTGTATCAAATGCAAGCTACACAGGCAAAGAGACAGGGAAAACTCAAATATGTTCCTTGTGAATATTCAAAGGGATATTTTTTCCAAATCTTAATAATTTTGGAAATAATGACAGTAAAGGTATTCTACCAAATGGGAGATCAAATTTCCTCCAATCAGACGACGTGTCAAAAGGACTGCACTGGGGTGCCTGGCTGGCTCAGGTCATGATCCCAGGGTCCTGGGATGGAACCCCTCATTGGGCTCCCTGCTCAGCGGGAAGCCTGCTTCTCCCTCTCCCTCTGCTGCTCCCCCTGCTTGTGCTCTCTCTCTCTCTGTCAAATAAATAAAATCCTAAAAAACAAAAAAACAAAAGGACTTCACCAGTTTTCAAATGCCACAGACCTGAAGCCACACCATTCTCAAAGAGACTGGGCAAAAGGAATCATAGATATGTCACTTCAAAATTATCAAAACAGAAACTAAAGAAAACAAATTTAAAAGGTGATTTAAAAGGTCTAGGTCCTAACTTATGAAATACAGAGCAGATACAGTAGCAGGTAAAAACTACTGCAAAATGATTTATGATGTTGCCATGCAAATGAAAAGTAATGAGTATGTATTAGTAATGTATTGGTCAGGGTCGAATAAGAAGACAAAAACTGCACAGTAATTTGAAGTGGGGAAAGTGCAGTATAAAGAATTATTGTGCTTGCTTCAGCAGCACATATACTGAAATTGGAATGATACAGACAATTAGCATCACCCCTGTGCAAGGATAACACACAAATTTGTAAGGCATTTCATATTAAAAAAAAAAGAAGAAGAATTATTAACAGGGAAAAAGAGAATCCTAAAAAATACAGAAATGGCAGATGTAGAAAACGGCCACAACTCCTAGAACTGGGATAGAGCACCGGGGGAAGAGGACACTCCCTCCCAGGGCTTAGATCCGGTCGTAGTTGGAGAGGGCACAGTGTGGCTCAGTGGATGGCAGAGAATTCACGGAGACGTCCCGCTACTGGGTTTTGCCAGGAATCCACCTTCCGGAATGCTAGAGGAAGTCATTTTCAGAGATGCATCTTGAAACGCACTCAAGCTACACACAGGGTGGCCAGAAAAGCCATCTGAAGCAAGGTGCCTTGCTGGCACCACTTGAGGGCAGTGTGCTAGAAAAAGCCATTTAGGGCACCTATCAGTCTGCTGTGAAGCCATCTGAGGGGGTGGCCCTGGGGGAAGCTACAGGGGGTCCACTTGTGGCTGGGAAACAGTGCTGCTGAAAAAGCCACACACACTGGAGGAGATCCATGAGGTTAGCACACCAGAACCCGGAAGAGATACCTCTTCCTTCTCAGTGTCCCTCCAGCACCCTCTGCTGATAAAGTCTAAGATTGGACCAGATGGCAAGGAGAAATATTGATAGAGTCCACTTTCATTTTGATAGGATACAAAGTGTGGATTTGAGTGGAGCGACAGTAAATTGATAACTAACATAAATGGTATCTGGAAGAAAATCATTATTGATATAAAGACATGAATCCCTAAAACCCAATGACAGATAATAACTATATTTTTCTTCTACTTTCTAATCAACCATAGTTACTTTTTTGAAAAGATTTATTCACATTAAATTCGAATTTAGAAGAATTTCGAAGGCCAGTACATTTCTTTCCTAGAGAAACCAAATCAACTATATCAGAAATCCAAGTATAAATTGTGTGAATTTGTATATAGACTATTGTAGTCTCATGATAAATGTTTGCAGAAATTGAGTTGAATTAAATAGTACTCCATTTTGAACTACTCTGTATTTTGAAGATTTTTGGCTCTTTTTCTTTTCTTTTTTTTCTTTTTTTTTGTCAAATCCAATAAGCGCATTCCAAATTTCAAAGGTTAAAGGACTTATCTTATTGAGCTGGGAATGTTTCTGGGCATTCACTTGTGATTTAAAATCCACTAGAATCAGAATTCTATATAGTACTGGTCTTGATTTTAAGATATAAGATGATAGCTGTTTCATCTTTCTGAAATACTTGGAAAATTTATAGTGATATTGGAGTATAATTCTGATGGCTCCTGAGAACTATTATAACATTGGTTATTACCTACAAACTGTTTGTGTGGAAAAATGGAATTTATTTCAAATACTGTCACTGCTAAGAATCAAATGAGGAAGCTACTGAGTGGGTAGGCATGACCTATAATCTTTCCTAAATAACTTCTCTCTCCTGTGTATCTAATTTGTAAGCCCCCATCATAATTTCCCAAGTCACCTGGTCACTGAATACAAGTCCTGTGATTGTCTATGACAAGTGTGTAGTGGAGAAAATTTTGTCTATGTGACAATAGCTAGACTAAAGCCTGTTCTGGAAGGTTTATCCCATGTTTAACCAAAACAGATTACTGGAGATGATGATTGGGCTATGGCCACTTTAGATCAGAGTTTTTCAAAAGTACACCATGCACTACTTACTTCAGAATCACCTGAGATGCTTCATAAAATGCCAGTTCTCCAGCCTTCTCTATGGCAGACTATATCAGACTCTGGGCATTCTGAGCACAGGGTCTGAGAATCTGTTTTGAACAAGCGCCCTAGCTGATTCACAACCTTACCAATACTTGAGACTGCTGCTGAGACGCGAGAACCAAGAGTCGAGGTGATGTTCTTTTTCCCAAAACAGTATTGGCTGGGGTCATAGCAGGGCTGGTTAAGTCTGGTATACTGCTCTTGCCTTAAGGAATGTTGCCTATAACCCTTGGGCTGGACTTTCAGCACCATAGCCTGGCCAAGAGCACAGTATGGTGTGTGTTATCAACTCATAGATAACGGGGATTTTCCATTTGTCAGGTATAGCTGGTAATGGAAGGCAGCTTTGGCTACCTTAAGTGGCAGGGAATTATTGGAAAGATATGGTGGTGTAGGAAATAAGTTACGGATCAGGGTTGAAGAGAGAGGAACGAGGGCATCTCTGGACATATGTGTATCAGGTGCTAACTAATGGTCAGAGCTTGGTTGAGGCAGCTTCAAACTTTATTTTGTTTATTCCCAATCTTGTGTTCATCCCTTATCTGGAGGAAAGAGCACCTTCTAGGTGCACCCAATTGAGAAGAAAATTTCCCAATTGGCTGTTATTGATAGGAGAATGAATGTCTAACTCTATCAGATTCTGATTTGTTATCAACGTAATACACATGTGACAACTCCTAAAGAAAGCAGCTAAGAGCTTAATTACATTCTAAGATTAATCGTAGGTTAACAAAACACCTCTCAAATTTTTTTTAATCCTCAGCCTGAATATGCCAATATTTGCTTTTGGTACATTCCACCGAGCCTTAGAGAGATGGAAGAAGGACCTGAATTCTGGGCAAAACTTAATTTGGTAAGTAATAAGTAAACTGCGTTTTTCATTTTGATGAAATAATACTGTTCCCATTGCCTATTGATCCTATGAATAATTCTGTACTTGTAAGACCTCTCAAAGATCGAGAGAAGTGGCTCCTAGTGTATTGAAAGGCCAAACCATTGCCAACACTGTTTACGTTTAAACAACGTAACTTACTTGATCCACATATGAATTCCAAATAATGGTGCTGTTTGCAAGATAGCTATAGGATGCAGTAGATGTTCTCATTCCCAGTGTACTTCAGAAAGTATGATCTGATGAGAGGACACAAGGTTAAAGTTCCATGATGAATGGCTTCTTTTTTTCAACTCCACCAGTGTGTGTCTGGGACTGCTTGCATCACCTCACTTGGAGATAACATTAAAAGTCTAAATCTGGTACCCTTTGTGAGTGTGAGCCCTTCTGTGCTTTCCACCAACAAAAGCATCTTCTGCCCAGGGGGCTTATGTGATAAAAACAAGAAAAGAGATGCCAGCAGTGGGTTTCAACTGATCATAGAACCAAATGGGCTTGAAAGTCTCTTCACACACGGCTGGTGAGGGCTAACAGTCCCAAATGAGGAGAAGCCCCAGGCTCTAGGGACTCCTTGTGTCTTCCCTGCACCTCTCCTAGCATGGTCCTGCCGGCTAAATCCCTGCCTCTAAACCAGATTTCCAAGAACTGTGAAGTCTCATGAGCCAACACCAGTTGCTCCCATGCCCCTGCTGCGTGGACATCATGGATATTGAAGCAAACCAGCGGGAGTTTGCCCTGGGGTTTGTGTGGCCATGACATGGTGGGAATTCACAATGAGTCAGAACCATCAGAGTTGGGTCATGCTCTACCCCTAGCGTCTTCCCTCTCAAGCTCAGCTACCTCCATGGCCCTAGTTAGTACAAGCTCTGACTTGCAAACCTCTCCCTATCTTCTGTGGGAAAATCGGTGATACCATTAATAGATTTTATAGGCAATAGCCGTACTCTACTTTCCAGTCAGGCAAACAACAAACCTTCACTGAGGATTCACTGTGCTGTGCACTAGAGATACGGACATCAACAAGACTTGGCCCCTGCCCTTAAGAAGCTCATAAGTCGGGAGACACATGAGTAAGGGGAGGATCACAAGGTAACTAGTAAGGGCCCTGATGGAGATGAACCTTGTTTGCACTGATTACAGAGAGAAAGGTTATCTACCTCCCTGTGTGACACATTAGAGCTAAGTCTTGAACAATCAGGAGAAGCCAGTTAGGGGACAGTTGTAGAGAAGTAGATTCCAGGAGGAATCACAGCATGATGACCTAGAGACTTAAGAGAAGAAGGTGTGATTCAAAGATCACATGGGTGCAGGGGAGCCTGGGTGGCTCAGTCGTTAAGTGTCTGCCTTCGGCTCAGATCATGATCCCAGGGTCCTGGGATCAAGCCCCGCATCGGGCTCCCTGCTCTGTGGGAAGCCTGCTTCTCCCTCTCCCACTCCCCCTGCTTGTGTTCCCTCTCTCACTGTGTCTCTCTCTGTCAAATAAATAAAAAAAAAATCTTAAAAAAAAAAAAAGATCACATGGGTGCAAAGGGGCAGTCACGGGGTCTTTGTCTTTCATGACAAGGGGCTTGGAATTTGTGGCTAATTAAGAGGAAGAGGGAAGACCATGGCCTTTAAGCCATAACCAGTTATAATCTCACCTGCAGCATCTCCTCTTAGCTTCAAGTCATTTTCTGTTTCTTCATGGCTCATTAAGCCTCCTAAACTGTGGCATAATATATACCCAGTATATATCTATTCTACCCCTTGTCAAACCTGAGATCCCGCAGCAGAGGGGCAGAGAGAGGGATGTTGGTATCCATTCCTTCGCCTAGAAAAACCCTTCGTTACACATTTCAGGCCGTTAACAGAATCCTTGGGCTTTGTCTTGCATTTTTGTCACACAAAGCAAATAGAACAGTGCTAAAGAATGCATTTCAGATGGTAAGTAACCCATAAAAGAAAAAAAAAAAGGACAATGTGAAAATTTAATAGTGAGGCTCCTAGGGACATTGTGTACTTTGATGGAATACAACTGACATTTCCTTTCCTTCTTCCTTTCTTTTCTTTTTTTGGTGACGTGGGGGAATAATTGCTCAGATTGAGAAAGATCTGGTTGCCATTCTTCTCACTTTTCCATTGTTAAGAAAAGCAATCAAGAATGTGTTATTCATGTTTTACTGACTCAGTACTGTTGCGTGGACATGGATCAGGAAAACTAAATAGTCCCATTGTATCTGGGCATCTTCTTGACTCACTCTTCCTTTATTTAAAGAAATAGTTATATTATCCATTCTCAAAAAAGTTTGAAATTGAGGAAAGATATACATCCTAAAATCGGATAATTAAGCAGATAATACAATTTTAATCTTAACTGGAAATTGATTATGAATCGGGACATTCTCTTCTATCCCC